TTTTTTTTTTTTTTTTTTTTTTTTTTACAAGCATCACAGTTACTTAAGAGGAACAAGTCACTTAATTTGAGATCTGGATGCAGCTAAAAACTTGTTTTAATTTAAGTCTCTAACAACAAACAATATTTAACTGTGACATTAATATCCCCATTTTATACAGCAAAACTGAGGATGAAAATTTAAGTCGCTTGCCTAAGGACACAAGAAGCACATCTACACATGTATATATTAATGCACAGCAATAAGCTATGGAGCTTATTGCTGCTGGGCACGTGTCTGCACACGTGCCCAGGATTGCAGCATGCTGAGCTGAGGTGCAGCAGCCCCAGCTGGCAGGGGGTTCCAGGGTTCAGCCTGCCAGGCCGAGGCTGCTCCCTCTAGCTCAACATGCTGCAGAGGGACTAGCTAGGGCACCAAGGTGCTTCAGCATGGGCTAGCCAACAGGTGTATTGTACTACCTTGCTGCAGAATAAATTAGTTTACTCCAGCCTAATAGGGGCACATGTGTAGACACTGAGATGTTTACTGCACAGCTAGTTTCATAGTTTCTAGGGTCGGAAGGGAACTGAGACGATCATCTAGTCTGACCCCCTGCCATGGCAGGAAAGAGTACTGGGGTCAAACAACCCCAGCAAGGTGTTCATCTAACCTCCTCTTAAAAACCCCCAGGGTAGGAGCCAGCACCACTTCTCTTGGAAGTTGGTTCCAGACCCTAGCCGCCCTGACTGTGAAGTAGCACCTCCTGATATCTAACCTAAACCTACCCTCTGCCAGCTTGTGACCGTTATTCCTGGTCACTCCTGGCGATGCTCGGGGGAACAGTGACTCCCCCAATGCCTGCTGATCCCCCCTGACTAGTTTATAACAGGCCACAAGATCCCCCCTCAGCCTTCTCTTTTGGAGGCTGAACAGGTTCAGGTCCCGTAGCCTCTCCTCATAGGGCCTGCCCTGCTGTCCCCTGATCATGCAAGCTAATTAGTCAACTGCACAGTAAATGTCTTTTGTAGACGCGCCCAAGGTAAATCAGTGCCAGATTTGGAATTAGAACTCATGAGTTCCATGCCTTCCATTCCTGTACTCAAACCACACCTCATTTGCCTGATTGAATATTACAGGTCAGAGAGAAAACCAAGTCATATAATCTGGTCAATGAGAAATTAATCTTTTCAAAACCCAAGACAAAACTTTAATATAATGCTAATTCACACATTAGTTAAAACAATTATTAACACTGGAATAGTAAACATGTAGATGAAGAAGTGAAAAATATGCCTCACCTGTCTGTTAGAATTTTCTGATGGAGACATGGGGTATATAAATCTATCTGAACTTCCAGAAAGGCTTTGATAAAAATGCAATGGAAGAAATTCCTGAGGAAATTGAGCTACTGCAGGGCTAAAGTTCAAGATCCAGGGTTAGCTGATGGCTAAGACCAGAAGCATATTCATTTCTTCTCTCCATCTACAGGACTGTAAACTAAGCTCACGGTATAAGATTCTTATTCTTGACGGGGCATGAACCCCAAAGATCCATACCAGTATTTCCAGTTCCAGGAAGAGTTCAGAGACAACTAGAATTTCAAGAAACTCACAAATTTTTACATGCCAAAAGAATAAATTTAAAAGTCATCATGTTAAAGATGGAATTCTACATCACCTTATGAGATGTTTTTGAGACATAAGTACATTTCCACTCTGAAAGCAGATTTACACTGTAGATAAAGGACAAAAGTGGGTGTTCAAAAAGTTAGACATCAGAATTCATCCTCAGACATACATGGCCTGCTTTTCAAGGGGCTGAGTACCTGGAGTTCCTTTGTGCAACTTGTAGGTGTTCAGCATCTCTGAATATTCAAGATGCCTATTTGGATACCTAATTCTATTAATCCAATCTTGAAAACAACGGCAAAACTTTCCATCAATTGTATTAAAATATTCACATTAAGGATGAGAAAGTTTAAGTTACTGTAAAAAGAAAACGAAGAGTAACATTCCAGACCCATGGAATGAAGAGTACATTCCAGACCCATCTTACCTGTCAAAGGATTTTTAAGTGTAGGACACTCCTCTATTGCTGACCCACTCTGAGTCTTGCACACAAACCTCTGCTTGTGCAGCTGCATGTGCTCCATGGAATGAATGGAATCTGCTTGATTAATTTCACTGGACTGAGCAGATGGACTGTCCCCTGCACATCCTGAGGAGCTTGAAAGGTCTTCACTGTGCCCCACTACTTTAGTCAAGTCACTTCCAGGCAACACCTTGTAACTGGCAGTTTGGGAGTCTAAATTAACGGTGTTATTCCCAGCAGAAAGATGGACTCTAGGGAAGTCAGAATCATCCTCTTCAGGGATTGGATTGTACCATATTTCTCCTTCATCATCTGCATCATTATCCTCACTGAAATCTAAAGTACCATTTCTCAGCATCGAAGGACTTGGACTGTTTTGGAGAGTGTTTACAGAACTGCAGGCTCCTACAGAACATTCCTGTCCTACCGGTGATTCCAAAGGAACCTGTGCCATTTTAGATTCAGATAAGGGACTTGGAGACTTGGATACCTGGGTAATAGCTCCTTGCATTTTCTTACAATCATCTTCTTCCATATTAAGGGCCCTTAGAGTACTCTGGTGCAGCCAGTTACGTTTCTTAGAAACCGTGATGCTGTTTATCTGTGACCTGTGCTCAGGGACTTCAGCAGCCTTCCGGAGTTTGTATTCTCTCCTATTTGTTGATACGTACACATTCTCAATTAAATCTGTTAACAAAGAGAGGGACAGAGAAGGTAAGGGAAAGATGCTTAGAACATTATCTAATAACCACACAGAACAACATAGATGATCTTATCGCTCCCACATTAGACAGGTCTGAAAGTACAAAGAACATCCTAATGTCACTGTGAAATTCAGTTTTAGTCCATCAAAAGGAAAGTGCACATGCAGTTAAGCAAAGAAGAAGTCTAACTTGTCTGACCATATTTTTAACACTAGGTAATATAGAATGCAGAACACTGACTATAAATGCCAACATAACAGTGCTGTTGAAAGGTCATTGCATACTAGATGGAAAGAACTGCTTATTCTGATTAAGAGTTGTTTTGAAAAAGTAGAAAAATCCTTAAGTTCTACAGCAGGAATCTAGAAAAAACAGAATCTTTGAAACAGCTGAAGTTATCAGTTTTATTTTTTATTGAAGAAAGCAGCATATGAATTAATTTTTAAGAACAAAATAGTATACAATTTCATCATTCCAAAGGTAGTTCACTGTAAATAGAAAATTTTAAATACCCTTCTCTAAGTGAAATAAGGGACAAACACAGTGAAAGTTTTTAATCATTACCTGAAAACAAAATATTTTATATAATGACTACCTATAGATTGTGTCCACTACATCACAGCTGCATAAATTCAGTTTAAAGGTACTCTAACTATAGCACAGAAAAAGGCACATGTCTTTTCAGCATAACACTTTAATATAACTTTAACAATCAGGTTCAATCCTACTAAATGGAACTAAAGATCATAAACACTTCATGTACTAGCAAGTATTTGTAAGACGAGGCTCTCTGTTTAAAACTTAGTGCATCCAAGCCTACACTCTGACTTTTCACATGAAAATGTTTTTTCCCTATACTGTATGAAAACTGAACCCTATAAATCCAGAAACCACTGAAGTAAGTAGAAAGACACTGATTTCAGTGAAAGTTAAACCAAGCCTATAATGAAGATCCAGAATGACATGCTTGTAATTTCATAATGTAATCTGGATTTATGTGCACCTTTTCCTTCCACTGTAGCCAGCCTCCCCCAAAAAAGTATTTTGTTCTGTTTTACACTAAAGACTTTTTTTTTTTTAGCAAAAATGTGCTGCAAGCTTACAAGTGTTTTAGTACCAGCACTCTTCAGAAAATGGCTCATAGAATATCCCTTCAAAGCACATCAACGGTTTAATTATTAACAAGGGACAGAACACCTTCCCTCTTGTTCCATCTTCATAGCTGAATAATACTGACAGATGCATTCTCTATAAGGGGAAGACTCAGGACCCTGAAGGCTCGAGTCAGCATTTGATGATGTTGGAAAACACATTTGGTATATCATAAATAAAATATATTTAGCTACAAACATGATGTGCACACTGGTATTAATATCACAGAATACTCAATTCACTTGAAACTTCTGAATAGCCTCACTGAAATGCTTTGCTGAACTGGGGCCTAAATGGGGAAAAAAAAGTGTTAGAAATACTAAATTATCCAGCAACATAAATTTATCTCCATGGAATCATTTAATCAATTGGCAACACATTCTTTCTTTCCCCATTCCACAGTCTATGAAATGCGAACATGCCTCACACAATTTTACTGTTACTAACAGAAGATGGAGGGGATGGGATGACTCCTTATATAACTTGTAGAAGATATAAAACCAACTCTATATCCCTAGAAATCAGTTTTGATTAGATAGATTAGTTGACGACTTACCCAAGAAGTCTTTTGGCTTAACACTGGAAGAGCTACTGAAAGCATGTTTGTACTTGTGTTACATTCCAAGAATATGCACATAGGAAAACAGAATGACTGCCTCCCCCACAGTCTAACAATCTCATGTTCCTATTGGTAATGAATATTAAAGCTAATAAATATTTCATGATACACATGATATTCACAACTATGGCCTTACAAAAGTGACAAGTGTTCTCAGAGACATAACAAACATTCTGTTCCGAGTGGAAAGATCATCATATTTCATCATTAAGCCTGTGAGAGATGTACCAGTAATTTCAAAATGGCTAAAACTAGCTAATGTCCAAGTATGGCTCTAACAGCGAATTCATTACTTATAGTATGTGCATACAAAATTATCAAATATTCTCTCATCTAGCCTTTATGTCTCCTTTAACATGCCACCCACAATGTAGTCATTTCTAACATATTGAAAGATTATCACTGAAATGCAAACTTATAATGTTTAATTAGTAATGTTACTTTCCATGTGTCAATGTCTTAACATGCTACTGTATAAACAAATGTGTAAATGATACTATGCTTAGAATGAGACTCATACACAAGATCACTTCACAGACAAGTTCTGGTCTTAATACCCCAAATTAAGTGCATTACATATACTTCTACTCCACTTATTGAAAAGCCTTTAAGCAACCATTTTTTTCAGTTCTTTGATTATCTTGATAAACTTCATATTTAATCCAAAATTCAGGTTCCAGTATTTCAGTAGATAAATAAGTAGTACACCCTATCCAAGATCAGGAAGAATATATTCATTTGCCGTGTAAGTTTACTATGTTATATACCTACTGGAACTATGCACTGTCTGTACAGTATAATTAAAAAGATTCCTTCTAATTATATTCATTTTAAATTTCCCCTGAATAGATATAAAAGAGTGCACACAGACAGCACTTAGTGTTCTTTACACAACCAACATTTAAAATACTTTTGCTAACTACTTTAACAATTATGTTTTCTGAGGAAGTATTGGTTTGCAAGGATTTAGGGGGATTTAACACAGCTGAACTTTCAACCATATATGCCCCTAAAACAAAATTTCACCTAAAATGCTCCTAAAGCAAATATCAAAAACCTTAAACTACATTTCCTAGCACTCCTGTCCAGACTGTACTGGTAAACTGCTTAAAACAGTGAAAAAAAATATCTGATAAGTGACCAACATAAAGGTTGTGTTCAGACATGCATGGATGTTTGGTTCCCTGGTGGCAGTGCATCTTGTGCCACTGCTAGTTGTCCACAGGGAATACCTGTGCCATGCATGCTCTGGCACAAGGCATGTTACTCTGGGGTGGGGTAGGGGAGGCTGGGCCCAGCACTGGGCTGGCCCCAGCAGCCTTACCTGGGGTTCTGGGGGCCTCCTGGGGCTGCAGGAGCAACAATTCTGCTGCACAGAGCCTGGCCGGCAGCAGAGCACAGCTCTAGTCACCCAGGCCGCGCACACTACCTCCATGTAAGCCACTCCACCTTTTTTTCCCCCCCACAGGTATTTTTTGACCCCTGGATATTGCCAAGGATAAAAAAGCAAAACAAAAACACCTCCATGCTGCTCCCTTGCAGCGTGGAGAACAACTGAACGTGTGGTATGTGGTGCCACATACAGCACGGCTGCGCTTGTCTGGACACTGCCAAAGAGTATATGGTCAATTAAAACAACTGAATAGAGTAGTTAAGGAAAAGCCTAGAATGACACCCAATTTTGCGTCTGAACTCTGCTGCAGCTTTGTAATAAATTGCAATCATCCTTACATTTCATTATATTGGATGTGAATATTGGGAGTTGTTTTAAATCATTGCTAATACCTACTTCAAGTGTACTGTGCTAGTTAAGCTCAATTAGCCTAGCTACACCACCACAAAGAAACACCAGGTTAGACAAATCCTTTGTTTAAAACTACTACAGTGCCAATTAGCCTTTTCCCCTTTGGTAAAGGATCTTGTATCTCAGATATTGATGTCTAATATTTTTGTCTACAATATAAGAAAGAGGTACTTATTTCAACTTGCCTTTTTAGCTAACTACTTTCCTTACTATTCTGGCTCCAGACAATTACATCTGCTGTTTCGAGAATTTATACTTGATATCATACAACATGTGCAGACAGATATTACACAAAACCTGAAATATTTAAACACGGGTACAGTATGTGCCTGGCACGCTCTTTCTACATCTGATGGCTATTTTAAAATCTTCAACTTTTCCAACAACACCCTAAGGAATTCCTACCTTATATTTTAAACAGATGGAACATACACAAATTATATTTCCACAACAAAAAGCTCTCTCACTTCCTGCATTGCATAGAAATCTGTGCCCTTAAGGTTTAGTTAAGAAAGTTTACAACCCTCAGAAATGCAGGCTCTTAAAAATTATACTCAGGTCCAAGTATACAAACCAATCATATGTCTGGAATCGAAGCCTTAGGCTACCTTTTACTCCTAAAGCAGAGAAAGCACAAAGTAAATTTGACATCTACACTACAGTGGTTCCTTTCAATTCACAGCCGAGTATCACGGTTACCAGCTGTTTGTTAAGGCTTACAAAAGGAAAATACGATTAAGTGTGTTCAGAATTTATGAACAGTTTTAAGTCATGCACAAGTGACAATATGTACCACTGTGTCACAATTCTGAATTTTAAAAATAGCATCCTAGGCCTGTTATAGAGTTAGCAATTATCAAAACTGCTATTGCCAAATTCATTTGTAGTATTAAAAAAAACGCAGTGACTCTTAAATAAGTCAGAACCAGCTAGAACAGCATGCTTCATTTAAACTCATCATTTGACTGTAACTTCTGGAAATGACAGTCATCTTTGCAATACTGCATTTCTCCTTACGTAGTCTCAGACTGTTGTCCTGCAATCCCTCCTCATTCCCTTTAGTAGAATGTATAGTCACCAAATGCAGTGGCCCCAATTTTTTGAGAGGCATCTTTTCATTTCCAAAAGTGTCACAACGAAACATGGAGGACCACAGAGAAAATGGACACAAACTTTTTAGGGTGCTATATAAAAATCTACACTTAGACATTTTACAAAATAGATTAGGGAGAGATCCATCTAATGCAGCTAGCTCATTTATAACATCTACAATATCTAATTGGTTTTAAACCCATGCAAAAAAGGTTACATTTCTTAATGTCAAGTACACTGAAATGTGAACTTATCGAA